CCTTTGTGTGAGCCCCCTGCCCGCATCCCCAGCCCTGTTGGTGTTGCTCGTTCCCAGCTGAAACTCGGTGCATTCAGGACTTTGAATCAAAGTCCTCGAGGGAAACGTGACAAAAATCCCAGTGAAATGCAGCTGTAAATCCCTCTGTGTCGAAACACCGGTGCGACAAAGCGGCAGGGGCTGTGCAGAGTGTGACTGAGGTGGGATTGAGTGGTTGGATGTTTTTTTAAGGTGTTTCCTGGTGCTGTGTTACCGGTTTGTGCTGCTGACAGGCCATTGGCAATAAACTCTATATTCTCTTTTTAGGAGGGTGATGACACCCTGCAGACAGGGCTGGAAAATATGAGCAGGACGGTCTGCAAACTTGTGTCCATTTCCCTCCTTTCTTTACTCAAATGTTAATGCGTTTTGGCAATTGGCTTCAGCAAGGATTTATTTAAGGCAATTGATCCCTGCAGTAACGAGGCAGTGGATGAAGTGACTGTAAAACATAGACTTTCCTGACATTTCTCCCCTTCTGAACCCCAGCTGGTGGCTGAGGAGGTGGTTATTGTGCAGGGAGAGAACCTGGTCTGTGCCAAAGCCCACTTTATGCTCCTCTGTCCTTACAACTACACTTGTCCTCTTGCAAGTGTCAGGCAGACCCCAGTGACAGCATTCCTTCCACCCTAGGGCTTTAACTGACCTGATGGACACGAGGTTGTGTGTGTTTGAAGCTCAAGAAACCCCTTGTGGGAGGCTGCCCCAGCTCTCCTACTCCGTAACCACTTTGTCAATTATCTGCAGGAAAAAAGCAGTAACTCCAGTGTGAGCCAACCCGTGTGCAGGTCACTTCTCTCTTCATTTATCACTTGATAATAGTCACTGTTACATCTGAAAGTCATACAGGGGTGGAGCTACAAACGACAGTCCTCAGCCTTGGTTTTTCTTGCACAGTTTTCAGACAGCAGCGTTAGAACTGGGAGCTGCTGCTGAGGGTCAGTGCTGGGATTCACAGGGTGCTGCTGGCTGGGCTCTCATCAGCACCGACGTGCAGGTCGAGTGTGTCATTGGCTCTAATGCTTTGATGACCAAAAAAACCCCTTTCAGTAGCTGTATTGGAAAAAAAGATTTGTTTTTCATAGATTTAAGGCCATAGAGTCTCATTACCTTTCATGGATGTCTGTCTAATCATTTCATCACCTAGAATTTCTGGTTTCAGTGGGTGCAGAAGGTGTGTGGGAGAGGTTTACAGCCCCCAGGAGCATCTGAGAAGGTTCAGACACAGGGGGGGCTCTGGGGAAGGGAGCCATCAGTGACTTTTACACTGATATCCCTTCCTATGGCGCTGCTTCAAACTGGCACTTTATAGCACATTGCATGGCACTTCAGAAACACCGAATTCTCACCAGTGAAATGAAGGAAGAAGGAGCCTTAATCACGGGCAGGAGCGGCTGTTACACACAGCCAGCCAGCTGCCCCTGGAGCCCCAATACTCTTGTCTGCTGAATGAGCTCCCACTAGTCCAAAAATGAGTTCTTTGCAGGCTGGAAGGACCCCACCGAAGCATTTTATTGTTGGTTGTAAAAGTTAAGTGATGTTAAGTACAGCAAGCTGTAAAATTTAGGACATTATTTCCTAATATGCTTCTCTGTTACAAAAGCCAGAGCCTGGCTTGTTTAGAGAGCGAGAACATGGGGCTTTGGAGAGCTGTGGGATACTGAAATGTGTCTGCTGTTTAAGTTACGAATGAAAGTTAACATTAAATGGTGTTGGTAGCGTTCACAAAGGCTTTCTATAAGCAGAGTCTTTCTCTTGGAGTCTTGTGCACGATGGTGCTGCACGTGGTGAAGTGTTTTCTCCTTCCTGAGGTCCTGTTGCTTGAGTCTGAGCTCCTGAACAGAGATGGTGTATTCATGGAGCTCAAACATTCAGCAGCCTGTGTGTTATGGGGAGTCAGTGGGATGTGTGTGTATGAAAGGGACACAGCATTTGGAGAGTCAATTCCTGAAACAAAGTGGAGCAGAACTGACCTTTAAAAGCTCCTGGCCACTCATCTCTTAGCTTAAATTTGTCTTCTTTTTCTTAGGCACTTCTCTCACCGGTTGAGGTGCTGTGAAATTAGATCCATTTTACATAGTATAAATATTTAACAGCTCTAGAGCATGTAGTTTAATATTAAACAGACAGTCTTATAAATACTTCAGAATTATAGATGCTGTCACACTACATGGAAACGGTTTGATAGGATCTAGGAGAAATATTGAGGTTTGACAGGAGAGGAAGTGGGGGGGTTAGGAGGAGTCAGCCACATTCTTAACTGCTGGAGGAGCCCCGTAAAAACTAAAAAAGTTGTACAGCTTCTGTTCTTGAAAGGCAATTTGGGTAAGTTTCCTCCCCCTCAGGAAATAACAGAGTGGTTCCCACCCTACTCTTTTCAAGGAATGAAAACACTCACAATCTTAAGAAAACACTGCAGAGCAAACAGAACAATGCAGGGACCCGTGTTCAGTCAGCAGACAGCCCCACATCGGGAGCGCCCATCTATTCCGTGTGGGATTATCATTATTAGAAAGGCAAGTGGGACTTAAACAGGGATTTAGATGCTCTTGAGCCTTGTGAGCTTCAGTCCGTGTACTACATTCTACCACCTAAGAGAATCTGAAATTTGTTATTAGTGGTTTTGCTTAATAATAATAAATTGGGGGCTGACCTGCTGGCTCCTGTCAGCTGAGCCTCACTGACACGGGGCTGTGCAGAGTCCAGAGACCACTGTCTGCCCCACAGAGCTCCTGAGAGAAGGGGGCTGCACTGACCCAACGCTGGGAGACTGCTCCAGCTCCCTCTTTGCCCACCTGCTTCCCATGGGATCCCTGAAAGTCCCTTCTCTCCCCAGCAGCTTCTCAACTCACGTGGGGTCCGATTTTCCTGTGAAATCTTCTAAGTGCATTTCCAGCTGAGCCCCTCCAGGCCTTTCTTCCCATCTGGGAAAGAGAGATAAAGCAGAAGTTGAGAGAAATGTGTTAAAATGCAAAGAATGAGTAACTTGTGTGACTTGGGGAGAACATAAGTACTTACGTGGAAGGTACATTTTATCCCATGGGGGGCTGAACCGTGAGTAATATAAGAAGGGGAGTTGTGTGTGTGTGTTACAGTTCATCTGACAGCCACGCAGGTGGGTGCTGTGTGCCAAGGAGAAAGCAATGCAAAACTAACCTTTTCTGTACCTCTTCTGGCCTTGTAAACACGTGGAATGAGTTACATGTTAAGGGACATGACTTTCCAATAACATTATGGCTCATTCAAACAACTGGAGTTTTAGTATTCTGTGATAGCTTTATTATATATATATATATTTACTTCCTACTCGTTGGCTGTAGCGTTACAAGGTTGTCTTTTTTCTCTCTCTGATGTATTGTGACAGGTAAAGCCATGTTCAATGTCATGGCCAATGCAGTAGGGTTACCAAGAATGGGAACTCTACAAAGAAACTTAGGTCAGCTCCTCTATCAAAAATATTTTGGTTTTCAGCCTGAAAAGGCACAGAGGCTTCTGTGCATCTTGGAGACAAACCATCCATGTGGTTGGTGTGAAGTTAAGAGCTGGAGGCTGAACTGGGCTAATTTCTGATAGAGATTTCTTGGAAGGTGTCCTCTGGTTAATTTTTACCCTGGAATACATGTCTGAACCCAGCACCATCTCTTTTTAGCAAAAAAAAAAAAGAGTGTCCTGGGTCAGGTATGAAGTCTGGTGAAGAGCCACAGATGAGTTCTAAGGAATGAGCATTTTTCCAAAGGAAAATGATGCTCCACTGAGCAGGTCTCACCTGGTAGGATTTCAGGCAGTGATGGTTTCTGTGATCTCCCCGTAAACCTGCCGAAGGAATGAGCTTTTTTCCAAAGAAAAATGATGCTCCACTGAGCAGGCCTCACCTGGTAGGATTTCAGGCAGTGATGGTTTCTGTGATCTCCCCGTAAACCTGCCCAAGTTGTTACTGACTCAGGAAGAAGCTGTGCTTTCGCTTGTGATGGCAAAATCCTGCTGCGATCCTTGAAGGTATAAAATGCTGCTGGTTCAGTTTGTGTGTGATTTGAAGTTAACGCAGTTGCGACTCGTGTTTCTTCTCCCAGTGGCCAAGCAGAGCTGGAGAGCATTTGGGAAAAGCCCTCAAACGGGGACACGCCACGCCAGGTCCTTGAGTGAGGTGGGGTTTTCCAGTGCAAATCTCAAAGGTCTTAGAGTCCGAGGGTGACTTGTCCTCTTTATTGTCCCCCCTGCTGTGTTTAACACTGTGACTGGAGGTTGCTCCTGTCCCTCAGATGTCCCTGTCCCTCACACTCTGGGACACATTAACATCATGGGAGAGGAGAGGTCATCTGCTGTGGTGGGAGAGCCGTTGGGGAGGAAGGCTGGAGGAGGAGCAGGTCGAAGGGATGAACTCTGGCTGTCTCACCCCTTGGTACCCCCCAGAGCAAGCAGGGGCAGGAGGTGCAGGACAGCAGGCTGCTGAGAACAGCTTCTCCCTGGTGACACTCCAGGCCCCACGGGACACCATCCATCACTTGGGAGCAGCTGTCTGGAACAGCAGCAGGTCTTCAGGAGCTGAAAATGGAAAGACAGCTCCTTTTTTTTTCCTTAATTCAATTTTTATCAGTGGTGACTGTTTACATTTATGCTGTCAGTCTGAAGGACACCATTCAACAGCCGCTGCATAAAGAGTCTCGTTACCAGCTTCGGGAAACAATCGCTACGGCCGAATGCCTTTGGGACCTTCCCAAATCCTTGTCAATTAGTGTCAGCAATGTTCCTCGGCGTGTTCCAGCAATTGTCAGAGCTGCTATCAGACACAGCTGTGAACGGGTTCCAGCTTTATTCCATTGTGCAGGGCAGTTATTAATGTCCTATCTCTTTAGGAACTGTTAAGCAAGAGGAACCTGGGTTTTATAAGCTGGTGTGTTTGTAGGAGCCTGTTTGTTGGGAATTGCAGCTCTGACGTGTCACTTCTGTTTTCCCTCCTCCAGGGTGAACCAACTCGTGATGCCACCAGCCTCTGTGAAAGTCTGAGACGGTGAGTCACCCAAACCAGCAATTGGTTTGGAGCTACCCATCCCCTCCAGAGCCCCCTTCCACCCCTTTCTTTGCTTTTAAGTTGGAAAGAAGTTACCTTAGACAGCCATGGCCTGCACCGTTGCTACCCTCAACCCAGATCAGAGCAAATCAAGAACAAGGAAACCAGGGATCAACTCAAGTGTTCTTTATTGCATTGTGTGGCTTCCACAAACCTGGTGCTCCCTTCTCTGAGCAGATAAGACCACACAACCCCTATTGACTAGACCAGCAGCAGGTGTGACTATGCCAGAGCTTAGAACATACCTCGAGTCCATAAAACCAGCTCTTGGTCCAACATCTGCTCACTGTGGAATGACCATTCCTAGCATATTCCAAATTTTCCCCAGAAAAATGCTTCCTGGCAGCACGTGAACTCACATGTCATTGCCAGGACTGTCCCCATGGCCAGCCTTGATCCAGGGTGACCGAGCTGAGGCCCTGGAGGAGCCAGGAGGAGAGTCCCACTCCTGCCACCCTTGCTTCTCCCTTGGGTTCATGCTGTTCTTATCACTCACCACCAGTCACAGCAGCGCAGCCCCGAGCTGCACCCATTGATAAACACTTCCTAGCATTTTACCGTAGCCAAAATTAATTAAAGCAAGTTTTTGAGGAGGAGATTTCTTTCCCATAAATTAAATGCATTGGAAGAGTAATCATAAAATCAGGACTCAATAACACGCTTAAGAATGGCCTTTTGGGGGAAAAGATTGAATACAATCTCTAGCACAGCAGATGTGTGATTTCCACAGAGGGACATATATTCTGGTACAGGCTCAGGATATAATAGGCCTGTACCTTGCAGTCTCGGGGCTGGATGTGTACTCACACATTGTCATTTATCAGGAGCTTTTAGACAAACTAACACAGAGGTGTTGGGTTTTTATAGATTAAAAAAAAAAAGAAAGCCTTAACAATCTGGGAACAAATATTAGGTGCTGTTGCTGAGACCTGCATTATAACACACTGAACACTTGTGTCCTGCACACACTTAGGGTTCTCACTGTACTTTCTTCTCTTTTGGTCCAGTTTAACACAGGTTGAGAGAAACCAGGCCATTGTAACAGGGAATTTTTCTATAACCCTGCAGTCACTGATTTTTAAGGTTGGGGCAATTTCCTGCATAACGTGGAGCCCAGACCCTCCCACAGGAAATCCTGCAGTGAGAGAACAGGTTCTCCTTTTCCACTTAATCTAGGGAAGCTGCTGGTGACTTAGGTGTGCCACCTCGTGCACAAGTGGCATCTCACCAGTCACTAGAGGTGCTGGTGTTGCTCTTTAAAGCAGGTGTCAACCACCAGCAGAAAGCCAGTGTCTGCTCTACCCTGTTAGAGGCAATACTGACAGCTGAGCTCTGGTGGGGGTGTGCAGGCTGGACTGACACCCCCCAAACTGGGCTCTCCAAAGGACAGTGGTTGTGAAAAGTGACAGTTTAGGGCAAGAGGCAGTCTCTGTTTTCTTTAGTGAACTGAGGGGGTTAAAACCAGTCTAGCAAAATTTAACATTGTCTGCTGAGCTGTTCCCACCCACATCATGAGCAGTTGTATCTACACACCTGACATAAACAAGACACGGTTGATGCCCTTCAGTAACACGGACAGGAGTCTGAACCTGCTACTGGTTCACTTCCTTGGGCAGATTTTGCCTGGATTACAGTGTATTTGTGTTTCCAAGTCCAAAAGCCTACAGTACATCCCAGAGTGCTGTGTCCGGACTGGTCAAGCTGTGCTGACCTCCAACTTGCATGGAGGCAATGTGTCTCTTAGCTGGCCCTCACCACAAAGTCGGGGTGCATGATTCACCATTACCAATCAACACTGTAATTACTCCTTCAACCACCTTTTTCTCTTCATTTTTTGCAGTTGCCAGTGAAGGAAGCGACACGCGGACTCGTGCTCCCACCACACCAATCTCAAGCTGGAAGCCCTTCCGTACTGGTGGATCCCTCAGCTCCACAGCACCCTGGAAGGGTTCTCCAGCAGCTAACGAATCCCACCGCTCCAGCCTGCGGGGTCAGGCACCAGGAGATGAGCAGGGCAGCCTGGAACACAAGTACTTCTTGAGCATAAGGACGTTCACAGGTTCCTCTGAGCATCAAAAGCAACTGTCCACTGGACCCACGATGTGCTACCCAAGTGAGTGACTGTAGATTGTGTATATGGTTTTAGTTGTAGCCAACAAAGTCCGCGTCATTTATAGGGCAACTTACGCCCTATTGAATGCTGCTGCTCCGTCAGCGCTCCTGCACCCAGAGACTGCACTAGTTGGGGACCTGTTCTGTACATCACCTTTTCTTTAACACTGAAGGCTCAATTCAGATTATTATTTTTTATTTAAATATGTCATAAGATGCTTTATCTCTGCTGAAGACCTTAGATGACAGATATAGATATATAGATATATATATTTAGATAAACAGTTTTTTATTTAAATGTTTTAAAACCTGGAGCTGCCTGTGCAACCGTACCAGACACGAGTAACGTCCACAGCTCTCCTCATCTCAGTGCCCTGGTACCAGGCCCTGCGAGGGCACAGCAGGAAGACTCCCAGTGGATGATGACCCATCCCCTGAGGCTGAGCAGTGGGACAGAGGAGAGAGTTTCACTGCACTGGGTATACTGGTGGTTGTTACAGAAAGGCCCAGAAGAACTTTGGACATAAATACCTAGAGGCTCTAGAGTTTGCTCTCAATATGCTAAATTCAGCCTTGCCTAGGAGGTTCACAGGTTTTTAAAATACCAAAATCCATCTGGCTGAATTGCTTTACCTAGGGCCTGGTAGTGCAATACTGCTGTGCCAGTGACTCCACGCTTTGTTTACACACACATCATATCACCCGTGTCCTCAACACTCATTCTCCCTCCGTCAGTATTTCCAGAGCAGGTGGCTGATGCTCTACTGTAGCTGTTTCCTTTGGAACAATCCTTAGGTTTAGTGCAGGCCCAACCCCACGCACAGACTACCCCTGCCGGGGGGTCAGTTGGTCACTTTTATCTTTATAAAGATGCATTTGAGGTCTTTAATATTCAAGGCCAGTGTCTGAACTGTGTTAGTCTCAAATGCAGCAGCATGTGTCTGTAGAGCAGTCAGTGCCAGTTCAGCCCAGTCTTGTTTCCTGCACTTGACCTCCACAAGCCAAATTTATGCTGTGTCAGCTCCATGCTGCAAGAGCGTGGGGAAGGCAGGCGAGCAGGGCCCTGGAGAGAGAGCCAGGCTTCCAGAGAACGGGCATTGGTTCTGGGAACTCCCCACTCACGTTTTTTCTGCCGTCTCCCACAGCACAGACACTCCCCTGGAGCTCAGCAACACCTCGTGCAGCTGGATGCACCTCACTCTTGGGCTCACATGCTCATCTTGTGCTCGGTTGGGCCACAAGTAGGACTAAATAAGCAAAGAAAATCATAGAATTGCCCAGGCCGGAAGGGACCTCCAAAGGCCATCTAGTCCGACCCCCCCGCAGTCAGCAGGGACACCCCCAACTAGACCAGGTTGCCCAGGGCCTCGTCGAGCCTCTCCTTGAATATCTCCAGGGAAGGGGCCTCAACCACCTCCCTGGGCAACCTGTTCCAGTGCTCCACCACCCTCACAGTGAAGAACCCTCTCCTCATCTCCAGTCTAAATCTGCTCCCCTCCAGCTTGAAGCCATTGCCCTTCGTCCTGTCACTACAGGCCTTTCTAAACAGGCTCTCCCCAGCCTTCCTGTAGCCTCCCTTCAGGTACTGGAAGGCTGCTATTAGGTCTCCCTGGAGCCTCCTCTTCTCCAGGCTGAACAACCCCAGCTCCCTCAGCCTGTCCTCGTAGCAGAGGTGCTCCATCCCCCTGATCATCCTCGTGGCCCTCTTCTGGACCCGTTCCATCAGGTCCATGTCCTTCTTATATTGAGGGCTCCAGACCTGCACACAATACTCCAGGTGAGGTCTCACCAGAGCAGAGTAAAGTGGAAGAATTACCTCTCTGGACCTGCTGGCAATGCATCTTTTGATGCAGCCTAGTCAAAGCAGCAAAATGCCAAACCAGGGCTGGATACGGGTGAAGTCTGGAAGCTGCCTGTCCTGAGTGTGGCCTGAGTTTGTTCAGAAACACAGGAAGGTACCATTTGTAAACCCCATTTCTATCTCCCGCTCAGCTCCCAGGATGTGCCAGGACCTACAGTACCGCCCTGTAGCAGAGATGGTCAGTAATCCCAGTTACTACATCAGGACCTACAGTACTGCCCTGTAGATGCAGAGATGGTCAGTAATCCCAGTTACTACACCAATCCCAGTTAATACTCACTGTGTAGCCAGTCTCTGCCGGGGCAGATGGGTTCTGAGGATGACTCCTTTCCTCCTCATCACACTCCACGGGTCTCTTCTGCAAAGGTTGCTCCGTCACCTAAAATACCTTAACAATAGCTTTAAGATTTGGCTAAACAACTAGAGCCAGAAATTTTCCTCGAGTGCCTGGGCATCCTCTGGAGAACAGCAAGTGGGTGCTAGAAATAATAAAGCAAAGCAGACCCAAAACAATGCTTCATTTCCCACCTCGTGCCACTATTTACATTCGTAGGGGAAATACCGCCTCTGCGGTCTAGGAGCCAAACACTTGGCTTTAAAGGCACATGAATTTCTGATTCCCATTAAGAAATTCCTTGTTAAGCTGTTTCAGAAGAAACAAAAAGCAACCCAACAGTCGGTCGTTTCATCTCAGAGACCAAAGAAGATTAGCAGCATTTCCTAAGTTGCTTTTTTGCTAGGCTCTCTCTGTTGTAGCATTTACTGTCAACAAAACGAAGCGTTCCTGCTAAAGGTCAGAGATTAGGAGTTGTCCTTAAACTTAATTCTCAGGAATCAACAGTGAAAAGGGAACTTAAGTGTTTTGTACTTTCACTCTCTCTCCTTGTTGGTGAGAAGCCCCAGTCCTTGTTAGAGAAGCACGGTGCTGTTACAGGAGGCCAGCCTTATCCTCGGTGCATATGAAGGAAAAGTGCTGTGGTTTTCTTTTTAACGAGGAAAGCGGGAAGGGAGGAGGCAAGAGAGTGAGTCCTACCTGCAGCAGTTCCACACCAAGGGATCCTCAAATCCCAACGTGTCCCAGGCTCAGAGAGGGAAGCCAAAGCAGCAGCTGTGACAGCTCAGAGATGAACAGAATGGGAAGGAAACTCAGCCTTTCCACCCCCTGCAGACCCTGCTGCTCCTTTATATGTTGATGACCCACATTCAAATGGCCAGAAGCTGAAAGGCTGCATTTTGTGTTTTAGCTGTGAATGATGGGTCAGTTAGTGCTTCTATAAAGGTATGTGGTCTATTAGAGGGAAACCAGCTCAATTAGCACAAGGGTCCATAGATTAAGGTAGTAAGAGGGACATCAAGTCTGGACATACATATTACTGAACAGAAACTAGACCCAGGGAAGCCAAAGCAGCAGCTGTGACAGCTCAGAGATGAACAGAATGGGAAGGAAACTCAGCTTTTCCACCCCCTGCAGATGCTGCTGCTCCTTTATATGTTGATGACCCACATTCAAATGGCCAGAAGCTGAAAGGCTGCATTTTGTGTTTTAGCTGTGAATGATGGGTCAGTTAGTGCTTCTATAAAGGTATGTGGTCTATTAGAGGGAAACCAGCTCAATTAGCACAAGGGTCCATAGATTAAGGTAGTAAGAGGGACATCATACATATTACTGAACAGAAACTAGACCCGTGTTGCCATAGAAGCCTCTTCCCTGGATTTCCAGCATACTGTTCCTTGTCCCAGGACAGGGAATTTCTGCCAGGATGAGGCTTGAGGAAACTCCCTGCCTGGCCTTAGTTTCTTTATGTGCAAAGCTGAGATACTCGCTGTTGAGATGCTGCAGAAACAAGCGATGTCGTGTTTCTGTTCCCTACTAGACGTCAGAATTTCCCTGTTATTAAAAAAAAAATAGACAGTATTGTATTATCTGGTGCTGCACTCTGGACTTGGCATGTGAGAGGGTGCTGCTTTCCCCTGTTCTATGTTTCTGTTCCCTACTAGACATCAGAAGTTCCCTGTTATTAAAAAAAATAGACAGTATTGTATTATGTGGTGCTGCACTCTGGACTTGGCATGTGAGAGGGTGCTGCTTTCCCCTGTTCTGCAGGTACAGGGGTACCCAGGCTCGGAAGCCCTTAGGGCCCTTCGTTGTTGACTTTGTGGGGCAGCGTAGGAGCAGCAGAACAATTTTTGGTGTACACATCAGAAGTGTTTCTGAAATGAGAATATAACACTATACTGAATGCATGTTACTTATATCCAAGCTGAGTAACAACCCTCATTAAAATTAGTATTTATGGTTTTCTAAAGAAAGGCTATGAATAGGAAAAGATAATTAGTTTTTAAAAAAGAATCCGTGTATTTTAGGATCCATCACACTAAATGAAGCAAGATTCCAGCCCATCACTTAAATAGTAGTTCAGGTCATAGAACTGTAGAATGTTTTTGGGTTAGAAAGGACCTTAAAGATCACCTCATTCCAACCCCCTGCCCTGGGCAGGGACACCTCCTACTAGACCAGGTTGCTCAAAGCCCCATCCAGCCTGGCCTTGAACACTTTTAGGGATCATCACAGGTCATCAAGTTTATCTTTGTGGTTCTAAATTTCAACACAAAATTAAATAGTCCCAATAAGGACAGAAATCCCTTTAAAGCCACTGATCTCTTGCACACAAAAAAATCACTTCATGTGAATGTCTGAGAACGAGAGTGCACAAACAGGAACCCTTGAAGCCATTTGGAAAGATGGGAAAAATACCACCGAAAGGCAGGGAGCACTGCTCACAGCTCTCATTCCAGGACAGGGAGCCATGTGAGGGGAAAGGTGTTGAGGTTACTGGCTGGTGCTGCTGTGTCTAGTCCCCGCTCCCTGGTACCTGCTGCCTCCCCCAGTTCCTCAGGGCTTCAACTGGTCCTTCCCAGTGCTCTGCCCCTGAGGTCACCAATGGTTTGCCTGAGGCGTAGGCTCCTTCCCATCTCCCCACGCTCTGTGAGCCCTGCGATGTCAGCTGCAGCCTCGCTGCATTCATCGGGGCCGTGCAGGGTGTCCAGAGGACAACAGGGAGAGTCCAGGATGCCCCTCCATGAATCATGAAGGCTTCCTTCTACTTCATTCCATAAATTCTATTATTTTTTTTAAGCAAGCATTAACTCCCTCCACAGCAAACACCGCGTTTGCACCGACGCACCCACTAGAGAGGCAATTAGGTGACTTGTACACAGCGAGAGGAAGAGAGGTAATGGGAACAGCACAGAGAGGCAAGAAAATTACCCAAAAAGCAGCAAGCTGCCAACCCGAGTAACTGTAACACCCCCTGCTGCCATCGCTCACAGAGCTAGAGCCTGGGTGAACCCAAGAGCCTCCCCCATTTACAGCTGAGAGAGAACCTCAGGGTGATTAAACCCGCTAAACGAGCGGCTGTACTCTGGAAAGCAGAGTCCTCTCTGCACCCTCCGTCCCAATTGTTTGTTGTCTTCTCCATTTGCTTTATTGTTTGGTAAACCAGCACTTACAATCACTTTTGCTACGTGATGTACGGGAGTATATAGTATATTTTCTTGTTATACAAGGGAGGAGTATAAAATAGTTTTCTGATTTCTTTCAGAAGCAAATGACTATTTTATTTTTTAAGAGCAATTGATTGTGAATCTCAGAGTATAAAAAAAAGATAAATAAGCCAAATATATACCTTTATGTAAATTAAGAAATAAAAAGTATTTAAAACATACCTTTCTTGTGTCTCCTCCTGTTCTGGTCGCACACTCCTGTGGCTGCTGGTGGCAGGGCTGGTCCCTGGGACAAGGCTGCCCCGAGCTCCATCAATCACACAGCTCCTGCCAGGGACACCGATGCGGGTGGCAATGAGCTCACCTGGCCACCAGCCTGTGTGGAGGTTGTTTAAAAAGGTCACACTGCGAGCAGGGAAGGTCAGAGGGTGCAGGGGGTGTAACACCATGAGCAGGGAAGGTCAGAGGGTGCAGGGGGTGGTGGGTGACAGTCTCCTCTCCCCCCAGAGTTGGCTGCCTAGATCCAACTCGGGGTCAGAGCAGGGTGGGAAGGAGTCAGTGGTGGGCACAGATGGTCCTCCTCCATCCCCTCACTGCACAGCAACAACATGTGGCAGAGCTAAAAGACTTGGCTGATCTGATCTGATTGACAAAAATGGCTGATGTGGTGGTAGCTATGGGTCGGGTGCTTAGGAAAATGGCCAGGGAGCAGGCCAGGAACTTAATCCTCGCGTGGTAGCCAGGGTAGGCACCAAAGCTGCCCTTCTCCAAGGATCCTGCACCAGAATCCTGCACCAGCCGTGCCGGCCAGCTTCACAGGATGGTGGCATCTCACCGTGGGCAAAGGACTGAGTGCAGGGGCTGGTTCTGCAGAAGCAGCACAGACAAGATGAATTTGAGTCTCCCCTCAACAGCCGTGGAAGAGACCTCTCCTACAGTCCCCTGCAGCACCTCCCTTCGGTGTTCTTCTCCTTCAGTGTCCAGGCCAGGCCAT